CGTCCCTTGATGGGCACTTAGGTTGCTTCCAAGTCTTGGCTATTGTGAATAACGCTGCAATGAACACAGGGGTGCATGTATCTTTATGCAATGGTGTTTTCAAGTTCTTTGGATAAATACCCAGCAGTGGAATAGCTGGATCATATGGTAGTTCTATCCTTGATTTTTTGAGGACTCTCCGTAGTGACGTTTCCCGGCCGTGCTGTCTGATACAATTCGTTTACATCTCTGAGTTTGCTTCCTTGTCCCTAAAATGTGGTGTCCACTGCACAGGATGCGGGAAGCATCGGGGAGGATGTTGAAAGCAGAGGAGGTGACACTGTGCAATGATTAGACGTGCAACTTCGAGAGTCGATCAAATTGGGGTTAAATCCGAGCTCTGCCCTAGTGTCACAGGTCCTCTCTCACGCGGCAGTGACGGAGCACTCGGCAGGAGCGACAGAGCTCCAGAGACTCTGCCCCTGCTGAAGCTAGAACCGGCCTGCTGCCTTGCTCGCGCTCCATTTGAGGTTTCTCTATTTGGGAAAGAAGGGAATTTAAAATGCATGAAATCGTTTCATGCTCTTCCCAGATCTTGAAGTAGGATTATGGCAAAATGATACCTCAGCAGTAGTTGTAAAGTATTTTATTTTTTTATAAATACAGCTGCAAACTGCTGAGACTTCAGGAAACTACCTGCTCCTGGAAGGCTGGTTCAGAGGAGCAGACAAAAATGAAACAGAAGAAAAACACAAACTATTTAAAAAGAGGACAAAGAACAGCATTCCTCTTCAACACGGCCGTGGTGTGGGCAGGGTGGGGTCCACTGTGTCCTCTAATGCACTGGTACATCCCCGCACACGCCTTTCACTTTCAAATTCTGCTGGGTGGCAATCTCCCGCAGGACACAGGAGGACTGCGGATCTGAGTCCTGGCCCTGCCTCGAACAGCTCTGTGACCTTGGAGGAATCCTCTAATTGGCCGGAGGAGCCAATGGTGGAGATTCTTCTAGGTCATTGCCCTGCTGGTTGGAGTGCCGGGCTTATCTCTGCTGGGGCACGCAGGGCAGGGCGCAGTCTTAGAGTCTGGTGCTGATGGTCTGCCCAGGGCTGTGTGGGGACTTCCACGGGCCCCAGGCACTTTTACCCTCTTGGGCCCCTTCCTCCATAAAAAGAAAAAAGTAAAAAATTATATTTTATGACTGAATTGATATGAAGACAAACTGGTAATCTAGGCTGAGTTATATTTATTTATTCTGATTTTTAAGAGAAATTAAAACATTTTGTTGACCCCTAAAAGTATCCTGGGCCCTGGGCCCCGGGCCTGATGAAGTCACCTTGTCTGCCCTCGGCCCTCTGAACAGAAGTGGAGAAGACCTTTGAGTCTCGATTGAGATGGACATCAGGCATTGCTAATTCTAGTCCAAAGCGTGAAGTGAAATAGCTTGTGTTGAATAACTGGTTTTCTGAACAAGCACCTTTATTCTCCCTGAATGCCTTCCCATGGGCGCTAACTTCTCAAAGCTCCAGGCAAACATCGCAGCCTGCTCTGCAGGTAGAGGGGTGATCATGCGAGCTGTTCCCTGGCCCCTGCATTCTGGTTTCTGGTCTCCTCAGTCTCCCTTGCTCTGTTCACACTCTGGCTTCTCTCCCCAGGAACACCATGGAGGCACTGCCAGCCTGCCTGCTCCGAGATGTGACCCAGGAGGCCCTGCGTGTGGCTGTCATAGGCATCGATGAAGGGCAGTTTGTAAGTTGGCTTGTCCTGGCACCATTCTTCCTACAAACCCCCCTGACTGTCCTCCTTTTTCCTCTGCTGCTTTGGAATTTATTGGTTCTATTTCTGATCTTTTAGTAAAGGAAACAATGTTAAATTAACTTGCTTTAACTAGTGTCTGGATACCCTTTGAATTCCCCTTACTGCTTTCTGTGTTATTGTTATATTTACTTTATAGTGAACAAAGAAAATAGATT